AAAGATTTTGTCTTTTGCTCATACTCAGTTTAACAAACAAAAGTTTTGTATTAACAGTTTTGTAAATCAGTTGCAGAATTCTGTCTGAACATGCATTAAATAATTCATTTAACATACCTCTGCACAACAGTAAGAACAGGTTGTTCCTTGCTGTGCTATTGATTCACAGCTGTTTATTCATGCTACTGTCCTAGCAGCATGTGTTTGATTTTGCTTCTAGTAGCAGCAGCAAAATTTGAAATGCTGCAATTTTAAGTTAACTTCCAGGGAGCGATGAGGGTGGCCTGTCAGGCCATGCTTGGGGTTTTGATGTCATCCTGAGAAAAAGAAACTTAAACGTGATAGCATTTGCCACTGCCTGACTGCGCCCTGTTTGTTTAACATGTCTCAGAGTAGTGGTTTCTGATCTGGCACCAGTAATGTTGTTTATCAGTGTTATTATTAATTTGACTGCAAGTGGAGATGGTCTTTTTGGAATGGATAAATACATCGACTTTACACTTTAACTGCTTAAGGGATGCTACATTTTAGACCTTTTATAAAGTGAAAATCTGGCAAGAAAGTTAATTGTACAGGTATCTACTGTAACAGGCATTTCTGTCCTTAATTCTTCTATATAAATGAATCTCACAGAGATTTTTTTTTTTTTTTTAGTGATTGTCTAAAATGTAGTATTGTACTTGTTGAGGAGGATGCCAAAGAAAATAGAAATTATGATTACTATTCTTCCCAGTGAAAATGGACAAATAAACTCTTAACCCATTTAATCTTATGATTAAATCATAAATGTCTATCAGCATTTTGTATTCACATGTGAGACACATGTCTGTCAGCATGCACTGGATCAGGTAGGAGACTATACATCTGGCAGCCAGGGAGTGGGGCTTTTGGTTGTGTGATTTTACTTTTATTTTTGTATTTAATCCTTTTTCAACTTTGAAAACAACAAGGCTGACACCCTTTTTGTAATGTGTGGTATTTCAAAATCTCAAATGTCACCCATCCCGTTGCCCTGTTGATGAATTTGTGCATTCTGTGAATGCAGAGGAAAACTGTATTGCTTCAAGTAGTCAATTTAAATAAAAACCGTATGGTTATCGACTACAGGAAATACCCTCTGTGTTTTTGTAGACATCACTTGAAGGTTCAAGTATTTAATCATGTCACAGGATTTTAAGAGACCCTAATGTCAGCTTGCATGCTTGTCAGTGTGATCTGTGGGCAGAACCAGGATCTCTAAGGAGTGCACCAGAGCATTCAGGTGGGGCATCTGCCTCTGCATTGCAGACACAGAGAGTTTTGGGGTGTCTCTGTGGTTGTACATACTGCTGGCAATGCAGGGACCTGGCCATTCTGCACATTGGACTGTTACCCTCCTTTAAGACTGGGATGGATACTGAGAGGAGTGGGACTCAGAGGGTGTCTGTGATATGGATGGCCAGCATGCTGGCATGTAATACTGCAAAAATTGGCTGTCTTTTGATGGTAAATGGTCAGGAGAGGTTGTCTTGAGTTGGATTTGATTCTAATCCTCATTGTTTCTAGTGGCAGTCATGTACAAGGGGCAAAGGCTTTTACCATTCATCTGGTGGTTTGGATTTTGTTTGGGGTTTTTTTTCATGTAGGTGCCCAGAAGGTACACAGCTGGTGCAGGCAGAGCATCACTGTTGTAAGAGCTGCTTACAGAGAAACAACTATCTGACCTAAAAACCCCAAGATACAGAGGTTGTCCCTGACTGACTTGCAACACTTGGCCATCCGTGCAAGGGAGAAGAGCCCCTGTGTGCCTCTGCCGTCCTTGTGTATGCTGAGCTTCTCTGTCAGGGTTAGGTTTACCTGCCTTTCATTTTGTCTGCTGGCTCTGGTTCTGTAAATGAACTGTACAGTGCGAACTGTAATTGGAATAAGATGCCCTTGGAAAATCTGCCAGATTACAGAAAATTGTGTCATGATTGACAGAGAGATTTTGTTGTATTTCAAAGGTGTAGTTATATGTAAAATAAAATGAGAGGCAGAAGCAAAGTAATTTTCCTTATTTGGGAAAGCTAAGCAAGGGTTTGTTTCAGTTCTGCTGGTAGGGAAGACACTAGAAAATAGCTGAATTCTGTGTCTATTAAGTTCTAATGAAAACTACAGCATACACAAACATGCTGCTCCTCCTTACTGCCTGAGAGGGACTGTTATCATCGTATTTTGTGACCGAAGGTATATTATTGAAAGAACAAATGTTGGCTTCCACCTCCTCCCCCTCTCCCCATTATGCTTTTAAACCTATTACTGAACTTTGGAGTTCAACATATTAAAGTTCACGTGCAGTTAGCAAAATGGTACATTTTCTGTGTAGAAGCCGAATCTTAAATTATGGAACTATGTAGCAGCAAGTAGTACCTTTCTACAAATCACTGATGACATAATAACAGTATGAATTTCTGAGGAAACAGTAGTGTGTTAAACCAAGCTTTGTTTGTTCCTCATGTGGCATCCCAGGCAGAGAAAATGAGATAACGCCATATAGTTGATCTTTTTCCAGTGCTTTTGTAAAGGCTGAAATGTATTATCTTTGGTGTATCACTGCCTTTTGGTAAAATGAGGTGAGAAAGGTGTTTTCTGTGTTCTGTTATAAGCCAACCAAAGCCCAGCGTATTTTCAGGGTCCAATTTTGAATATTTGTTCATATTACAAATCGATGTGACATGGTAACTATTGAGGCTTTCTGGCATGTACAAAACATCTGTTCAGCTGGAAAATAAGTGGGGACAATGAGCCAGTGGTGACATGTCCAGATGGGAGCATGTTGGAGTGCTGCGAAGCTGAACACCTGGCATCAAGGAATGGGGAAATACAGTTGATGACTGTGTGCCTGGACGCAGGGCATCTGTGTGAGTGGGCATTGCAGCTTTGTCAAGGACCACCACTTCTGAGGTCTGGATTCTTTAAAGCCGATGCTTTGTGAAATGTGATGCTTTGACGTTAGATTAAAAAAAATAAATATTGCAGACTCTTTACAAGGAATTAATTTGATATTTTTTTAGAAGATGGTCTTCTAGTCAACAAAGTTTGTAAATTCATGACTAGTCTTTCACAGGTCTTCAGTTATTTCCAGGTACCATAGCCCATGCCTGCAGCAGTAGCCCCAGGCTGCTTTCAGGGGGTTCATCGTTATCAGTGAGGAGGACTTTTTTCCTCCTGTGGAACCTACACTGGTAGGACATTGCATGGAGGGGTTCTTAGGGTTTCTACATTTGGTCAGGTCTCTTGATAAGGCATAGGGAGTTTCACATTGCTTGCTTTCAGTATTGTTCCTGAATCATACACTGCGAATATTGTTGTTTGGTATAATGAGAGTTTCTTTTTTCTGGAGTCCAGAATCAATAATGGCTGGATTTTTCTGTGCAGAAATTTGAAGATAGAATGAGGTGGAATAGTTGATGTGTAATGTGTTAGTGTGTTGCTGGTCTGCTGATAGCTTCAGCATTTATCCATCTGCCTTGATAAGAAATTCTGTAAATCGTGAAGTTGAGGACTTTTTAGCCCATTATAATTTTTTACCTTGTTACTGTTTGGTTGTTTAGTTATCAGGAAAAAACTGCATTTAGTTACTTCTAAACCCTGGACCAGATCTACCATAAAGTAATACCACTGAGGTGTAGGATTACTGCAGGGATTAATTGTGGTGTCACTGTTCCTGAACGCATATGTAGTGTGAAAAGGGGAGAGGTGATGTGAGGAGGATCCTCAGTATTATGAAACCGTTGTTATTTTTCATATGAGGTAACTTTTAATACAACATTCGGCCACAATAGATCTGTCTATTAGAAATGAGGAATCGTTTTAGTTCAGAATCTGTATTAATAAAAATTTATGTTTGTTTGTCCTAGTTTGGTTTATCTATTTTCTTTAAATAGCCATGAATTAAGCTTTGCAGCAGGACTGGTAAGATCCTCCTGACTTTAGTGAGGATGGACATGGTCCACAAACAATGTAGTATATTTATATTAGTAAATGTCATTCTGAGGTATTATCACATGCACGTGAATAACATTCTCCCTTCTCACCCACTTCTCTGGAATTACTAGACAGACAGCTGAAGTCATGGCTTTAGTAACTTTGCTTATAATTGGATTGACAATTCAGTATGCAATAATGAAGCTTCTTTTTGCTGAAAATTGGAGATAAAAATAATGCTTATATCTCACTGTTGTAATTGTGTGCTTTTGAGTACTCATGGTACATGATCCTTTATTTAAGAAACTGTTACTGTGTAACACAGTCGTCACTGTTATTCAGAGTACAGGGTTTTTTTTTAGTTCAGTTTCTTATACTGTATTCAGAGTTATGTTTGAAACTTTAAAGGTGTTTTAAAGGATAGCTTACTAAAGTAGGATAGAAGCCTGTATTTTTTCCAGTAAAAATTAACTTTTGAAGTTCATTTATTAATTGTGAAGTTTGTTTTTAAATTTCTCTTGAGAAAAATGAAGTTAGGCTCCCTTCCAACCCAGTGCTTAAATATGTGATTAACTTTTGTACGACTGACTAGGTTCACTGACTTCAATGAGTGCACACACCAAGAGGCTTTTGGCAGATTTACTCAGTACAACTTCTTTCAGAGCTGCTGCAGTGCTGGGCAGAGGGAGCCAGGGAGTGCACAGGGTCAGTGCTGATGGGGTTTGAACACAGCGGTGTCACTGTTTGCTGAATTAAATTTGCAGAACCACTGTCTTTGCAGACCCTCAAATGTAATTTAGGAAAGTCATAAAGGTCAAAGATTGCTCCAAAGCGTTCAGAAAGCAATTTTCCAACTATGCCCACATTACTGGTGTGACCTGTTGGCCACTTGCATTTCTGCCCTTGAGAAAGTTTTGCTTTTATAATGGTCCTAAGCCTGATATTGGTGTAATAGATACTGACCATTTTGTCTATCCACTGACATAGAATCACAGAATCAAATAGGTTGGAAAAGGCCTTTAAGATTACACATAAATGCTGTTATTTGAGTAAACATGGTCCAAACACTTTCTGTTACAACAGAATTGAAAGTAAATCTGAACAAACTTACTTACATTCGAAACAGCACAGGACAAGCACACAATATGGAGGTATATGTCCTTGAAGCCCCTGCTTATTCTCCCCTAGCTTTTAATTTTGCCAACTAATTTCTTTCAAAACTGACATAATGACCCAAGTCTCTCAGTTGCTGAGTTCCTGCTGCCTTTGGAGCAGCCCAGGGTGTGGGTGCAAATGACCTTATCAGTTCCCTGAAGTGCAGAGAGTGGTTAGGCAGAAAGGCTTTAGGTCATTTGTCTAATTACAGATTGCTTTTTCTAATACATTTCTTCAAGAATAATACTTTCCAGATGTATCAGTTTACAAAGTGAATTCTGTTGATATCCTGATGGATAGAAAATGTGTATTTTAACAGTTATAACTACATAAATATATTTGATCTAGAATTAAGTTTTGTTTTCAGTAATACATATGACGATCTGTATGCATATGATATACATTTTAACCTAGATACAGAAAATTGACTATAGATCCTAGAAATACCTTAATAACTTTTCTTTCTTATAAGAAGTGTAGTTTTCTGTAGGTCAGTGTTGATTAACAGATTGTTGTAGAAGGTTGAGCAAGAGTATGTTACTATGACATAATGGTATTAAAAAACATTGACCCGACTCCTGCACTTGTTGTTTTTGTGACCTTTGTATTCCTTCCTTATTAGAACTATGCAGCACTGATACAGCAACAAATTAATGAGGACAAACAAAACTTGAGAGAAAAGACTGTATATGGAGTCCAGCTCACAGAAGAAAAACTTAATGACTTCCGTGATGAACAGATTGGACAGCTGAAGGAACTGATGGCTGAAGCTACCAAACCTCATAAAAAACTCACTATTTCTAAAGACTCGGAACACAAAACCTGAAGACTTTTAAGAATTGTTTTAATGCATATGGAAGCATTTTGAAACTTCCTTTCCCAGTTCAACTTGAATGTGGTTTCTGTGGAATAATGGGCGCTGCTACTGACATGGCTTCTGAAACAAATGTGTCTGGCTGTTTAGCTTTCTGTGTGAGAATAAATGTTAAAATGGAATAATCACAACAATTTTATGTTAATTTCAATTTTTTTTCTCCTAGTGGAAGGTGAAGACTTGAAGAATTTGGTGAAAGTAAATTCACATATTTGAAATAGAAAGGTTTGTTTGTTATTTAGCACCCACAGGGTAAAGCATCTTCCTATTTGCATATTGTCCCTTGGCTTAATGGAAAAGATGAAATTAACATTTGTTTTCTGATGTGGATTAAGTAGACAAAGAACAAAGGTATGGTACTAGAGTGGTTTTGTTTTGATGGAAAGAAATGAGCTGTATTAGAAAAACATATAGCTGGTGCAATTGAAAGTTGGTTTTCTTCTTGAGCTTTATTGTGAAATGTGCTTTAAAATAAAAGATGTACATGATTATTAAATTGAGCTGGAAGGAACCACTGGCTAATGAAGAAAATTATGCATATTTTTCATAGCTAAACTAAAGTTAGTACCTGAAATTTTTAAAAACCATTCATGATTGATAGTTAGAATTCAAAGGCTCTTCAAAAGCTCGCTATCCTGAATTATTCAGTATTTTGTATAGGTCAGAATTTGTAAACTCCTCAATCACAGGAATTTTCCTGTTGATAATACTGTATGACAAACATTAGTAATGTATTAGTAGTTGGTTAAGTCTTCATCAGGACAGTGCACGCGTATTGTAATACACTGTATCAGGACTAAAAAAAGTTCTGCTCTTCTAACTGTTAAGAAAAACCCCACCCCTTTCTGTGCAAAAGACAGCTTTCATTTTGTATTCCAAACTGAGCTTTATATTATTATTTCTGTTCTATTTCTGGACCTTTCCCTGTCTGTTACCCACAGCATGTTCAAGACAACATAATTTCTTTCCTCTTGGGGGATAACAGCTTTGACATGTAAGCCTATTTCCATCTGTCTAACATAAGAACATGCCATTTGCCAAAGCTGCACTCCTTGATCCTAACAGGGTACAGTTTGGGGAGCAGCCTGCTTCTCTCTTCCTTGCCTCTTTTCCCAATTCTTTGCTAGGATTTTAGGTTTCAGCTTGCTCATTTCTATTATAACTGCAGGATTCCTACGTAAGGAGCTCTTATGATTGCTTTGCTACATCTTCCTCTGGCATCTCCAAACTCTTGCTTTTGCTGTAGGAACATCCTTCAGCCTCCAGAGCTTAATCCAAACAGGGTCGAAGGGCAGAGATGATATCCAGACTGCAGAGCTGAGGGTCACAAGTCCTGGTTCCTAGAGCTTCAAGGGCATGGTTGGAGAGAATAGCAGCTGCCTTCTGGCCTGCTACGTACTGAGGTCTTGCCCCAGCTTCAAAGTGGGAAGTGGATGGGATGTGCATGTGGGAAGCTTGAAAATTTCTCTGATACTGCCATTCACACGTACCAAAAGCTTTGTTTCTTTTTAAACTTCAAAGTCTGTAAAAATCTAATCCAGCTCCGGAGTTTAGGGCATAAGGATGTATTCTGTTGCACTTCCATCAAATGTACAGTAACCAGTAATTTGCATCACTGCTCAGTTTTAATACTAAAAGCAATGTTTGGGTGTTGATAACAGAGTTTGTTTCTACTCCCCAATTGCTAGTACACATGTGCCTACTTTCCAGTCAGTATCCAAGTTGCTTCATATTTATTTCAAATACTGCAATTTTGAGCAGTTATTTTTATCAACACGTTTAATGAAACTTCTTAGTTCAGTGCAGCTAGCTAGAATACTTGATTTGCATCTGCCTACTCATTTATGTACCTAGCTAATGCACGTATCTAGAGACTAAATTAATTTATAATGAAAAATTTCTGCTTGGTTTGAAAAATTTATGTTTATAATGAGACCTCAAGTGAGTTGAAGGTGAAGGTAGACAGCTTTACATTCACAGTCCCTTTTCTAGTAAATCAAACAACTTTTTCCTTTCATTCCCAATGCTAGCTCATACTTTGTCCAATGTTTGTATTCTTCTTTAAAACAACTCTTACAAAAGCCAAGTTTCCACAATAGGAAAGAAACATCTTTGAAGATTGCTGGCTTTAAGGCAGGCAGGGCTAATAGTAAAGCATGCTCTGACCTGAGCAGAGCTTATGGGTGGCCCCACAGAAGCATTGCAACCACCAACACTATGCATTAGTGAAATTCTTTGATTTGCAAGTGTGGTTAATGACAGTTAAGTTGGGGAAGACAATGGGCTTCTCGTCCTGTCCACAGAAAGGAAGAGTGACAAAGATGCTTTCTCTTTAATTTAATTTTTCTAAGGTATAAAATAGTTTTTGTGGGGAACTTCACACAGGGTTTGGTGGATAATGAGCACAGGAAAGCATCCGTTAAAACTACTTCAAAACTACAAGCAGTGTGCTATTTCAAATCGCAGAAGAATTACTTAGAAAAAAGATAGTCATCACCCTATAATGAAAAATAGCTATGATTCCTTTAGAAATGAGTACAAAATTTTAAACTGTGTGTGTTGGGATGGATTGCTGTTGTACAGCTGAACACTAAAAAGCTCCTACCACTCTTAAAAGACCTCTCCCCATTCATCTTATCCAATAAGAAAAGATACTTTGTGTTTTGTTGATCTCAAATCTGTTTGGTTCTCCTAGAACTAAAAGAATGATAAAATTCACTGGTTGATTTGGCTAAGCATTATCTGTAGTAACACTTCCTTGCCTGGCAAGCCTGGTTGTCTAGCAGCTGGTTATTTCCTTTTTTGGGTGCTGTAGAGAGGCAGTAAGGAGCTGTGGCCCAATTCAGATGATCACAGTCCATGTTGCCTGCTTACAGAAGGATTTCCTCCTCGTACATCCCCTCTACTACTCCAGTACAGGTTAACAATACGGTATTGTCATCAGTGAAGTCAACACTGGAGAGGGACTCTTCATTAGGGACTGTAGTGGTAGGACAAGGGGTAACTGGTTCAGACTTAAACAGGGGAAGTTCAGATTAGATACAAGGAAGAAGTTCTTTACAGTGAGGGTGGTGAGGCACTGGAATGGGTTACCCAAGGAAGTTGTTAATACCTCATCCCTGACAGTGTTCAAGGCCAGGTTGGATGGAGCCTTGAGTGACATGGTTTGGTGCGAGGTGTCCCTGTCCATGGCAGGGGGGTTGGAACTAGATGATCTTAAGGTCCTTTCCAACCTAAACCATTCTATGATTCTATGATAAGCTATTATGTACAGCTTATTGTTAATTTTATAATGTGAATGCATGCTACTGAGTGTTGGGAAAATGGAAGTGAGGTAAATATGCTGTTTCTCATCTGCCCTTTTCTAGCCCCTGTCTCGCATCCTGGTGCCCAGGAAAGCTTTTCAGGTCTCACTTGGCCTGTGCTACTCACGCTAGTAGCCTGCTTTTAAAACTCCACAATAAGCAAGTAAGTTAGGAAATGGTTTAACCTCTCGCCACTCACACAGGCTTCTGGTGAGACTATAGGATTAGAATTGTAAAGATGAGGAAGGAAAACACTTTCATTGTTGCTATGGAGACTGGAGTTTATGTTGCAATGACTTGTTCTGTTTCCTACCTTCTTGTTAAAAAAAAAAGAATCAAAAAAGCATGGCCAAAACAACCAAGGAACACAAAAAAATCACTGACAAAACCTCTAGTACATGAGATTACAATTTGAGTGACCCCTCTGCAGTATCAAAAGGAAAGAGAAAGATAAATGGAACAGGGGGAAAAAGTCTTTGTGTCAAGACAGTTTTGTTTTTGCAGAGAAGGAACTAGGGCCATAGTGAACACAAGGTCCTTTGGTGGATCCAGTGTTCCCATTCAAAGGCACTGCTCCAGCCCCTCAGCTCATGCATTCTGGTCACAATCAGATGGTCAGAGGGCAGCATGACACATTGCAACAAAAAAAACTTAACCACATTTTCTCTAAATCTTATGTCTTTGGACAACTGGGATATGGATTCTGGAACTTTACCTTCTCGTTAAGTGGCTGTGGATGAGTTCTTCCCTTGCTAGTCCACTACCCAAGGCAGAATCTGCTGCAGGAAGTGCATGGCAGTGTAGTAAGCACTAACACATGTCTGTTCCTTGTGGTCAGTATGGAGTCTGTACCCTGCTGTGTTGCAGATCAAAGTATGAAGTGTGTCTGATCACATTGCTACAATAAATAGATTAGTGCAGCATTTGTTTAGGCATAGTTTTGAAAGCAGCTCTGAAACTTCAAAAAATTACCCATCGTAAGCATAATAGATTGCCCTTTAAAAAGGATACCATATTCGTACCAAAACCTGTGACTGCCATACGAGAGCTGTTTTGATGTCACAAGATTTAAACCCTGAATGGAAGCACAAAGCATCTCTAACACAGTGGTCAACAGGTTTCAGAGCATCATGGAGAAATATCCATTTTGGTTTATGAGCACTGAAGTCACACGACTTCAGCTTCCTTGCTGAAGGAGCAAAGACAGTGGTCATGTGGCCCCATCCCTAACTTTTCAGATCCATCAGCAGCCACTTCTGGTTGTCATGGTTCAGGACATAGCTGAATGCCTGTGCTTTCCCACAGTGATGTGTGTGTTGATCCAGAAACAGCAGCGCACCAAGTGGAGATGCTTCAGGACAAGTAAATCAGATGGAATTAGCTTCTCCATTTTATCTTCTTTTTCTTTGTTCACATTAGCTCCGCAAAGCCACAGCTGGCTCCCAAAGCAAGAGGTGCCCTCATGGCTGTTTGTAAACATCTGCTCTATAGCCTTCATGCACTAAGAACAGCCAGGCAGAGAGTGTATGGACTTTTGTGATGACTGGCAGTGATTTTAAAGACTAATTCATGCATTTCAGAATCAAAAAAAGCAAACAAGCGAGATGCCAAGGGGCATGTTATAGGAATGTACTAGTTTGATCCCTA